CCCCCCCCGCAGATGAATAGCCGGGCGGTGTGCAGCAGGGTAAGGAAGAGAGCCGAGGCAGCACTGAGAGGGCGGTCCTGCGCCGTCAGGCCTTGGGTGCTCGGGGCTCCCTCTGTCCTGTCTCTGTGCAGCCATGTTGCTTCAAGTGAGGTAAACATGCCGGGCGTTGTTAGTCTCGAGTGATAAACAAGACAGAGCCCATGTACACAGCACACCAAACTCCCACAGGAGGAAGGCGTTTTTAATCCATGAATTACAACAATTTGAAAGGAAATCGAGGCCTCTGGCCAGGGACCAGACTCTAAAGAAATATGTTTTACCAGGACATAAAGCCAGCCAGGGCCTTGGAAATAAAAAGGTGCATTCACATCCCAAAACACAGCAAAAGGCTTCCACCCACTCTCTTTCTGTACCCCTTTGTCTCTTGATTTGGTGATAAATTTGCAATTAAATGTTTGATAATGAAAGCCCAGTGCCTAATAAATTAAAACACTTAATGCTTGAATATCCCATTCACTAGTTTGAATTTTTTAAAAAAAAGGTTTTAAGAAGGTAAAATTAGGATGTAAGCTTATGTTCTTATTTGGCCAAAAGTCCTACTAGCAGCAAGTTGCAATGTGACAGAGAAAGTCCTTCAGAGCTCAGACAGACAAAGAAGTCAGAGACCAGTCTGTTGCAAGGGGCATCGGTATTTTTGATGAAATCATGTGGGGGTATCCAGGAGATGGGATGGACAAGAGCAAAAGGGAACAAGTCATTTCTGTCTCAGTTTCATGTTAGGGTGATCAATTTATCCCAGTTGCCTGGGATTTTCCCAGCTTTAGCACCCTCAGAAATCCCTCAGGCAAGGGCAAAGTGGGACAAACGGTCACCCTACTGACCATATACTGAGGTAATCAGCTGGGTGCAGAATAGCCCTGGCCAGGTCCTGATACCCAGGGCACTCCCCGAGCTCTGGTTTGTCTAAATCTGAAAGTCAACCCTGCCGAGCCAAATTCTGTCTGAAGCACACCCTTTGGAGGAGAACACAGCAGGGGTGCTGCGTGATCACAAGTCTGATCTCATGCCCAGTGGGTGAGTCACAGTGGGCAAGGGCTCAAGAGACAGAAGGAAAGACCCAGAGGCACCACACGAGACATGAGGGTCTGTTGGAACTTATGCACAGGGAGTCCAGGAGGCTGACTGGATGAGATGGTGCACTGCAGTCGTGGACAGGGAGGGAACTGTTCACGGGGTGCAGGACACAGGCTGCCTGTGTGCCAGGGGTGAGGGGACAGAGACTACGTGCTTTGCTAGGAGAGATCATTCTTGTGTGACCAGCGCTCCAAGGAATGAAACCTTGATTGGAGGAACTGGCCTCTTAAGAACATGTTTCCATGGATAAGAGGCCTGGATTTGGCCAGCCCCAGGCCATCAGATACCCTGCATACCACCAAAGGCGGGGGCACGTGGACACTCAGTTATTCTGGGACAGAAGATTATAAGCAGGCAGGGCTTGTCCCCACAAGTGTCATTTCCCAAACAGAGGCTCACTAGTCTTTGATGGAAACTTTTCCAACAACAGTGGTGTTTTGAAAGCCAGGCTTTTATTTGGAGAAGGCATCTTGAAAAATCCTTGAAAACGCTTCCTTTATTTTTATTAAAGAGCCCCTGGAACATGTCCCTGGGCTTGCATAGTGCCCTTTTTAGTTTAGATTGACTTCTTCCTCCTCACACCACATTGAAACCTAAACAAAACTCAAACATGAGCTCCTGTGCTGCAGGCGGTATTCCGTTCAGTCTGTGCCCCTGCCGCCAGGGGACAGATGAACTCAGCCCACATCCACACTGCAGGACCCCAGCAGAAAGGCAGGGCCAGCAGTGCCCTTCAGTCTCAACAGGGCTCCTCGGAGGAGTGCATACACCACACACTCAGGGACGCCGGGGACAGAGCTTCACTCTGGTTTCCTCAACAGCAGGGTGTTAATGGGTGCATGTGCCCAGGAGTATGGGTGCATGTGCCCAGGAGTCCGAACCACCCAGCCTCAGGCACCTCAGCAACAGGGAGATGGACCTAAGATTCTGCAACCAGTTCCAATGTTTGGGGGTGTTTCCCACACCATCAAGCAACTCTCAGACGCCAGCTGGGTGTCCTGCAGCTCAATGCAATTCTAACACCATCTGTCTGGAGCATCAGATCCCACAGCTTGAGGGCTCAGTCCTACTAGACTGCATCCCCCCACCACTCTTCAGATGCCATTTGTAAGTCCAGGTTGTCACCTGTGTTTTGATGACCAGCTACACAGATTAGGTTTCAATAACCCCATCTTTGGATCCATTAATTTGCTAGAGCAGCTCACAAAACTCAGAGAAACATTTTACTTACTAGATTACCAGTGTATTATAAAAGGATATAATTCAAACAGCCAGATGGAAGAGATGCACAGGGCCAGGGCCAGGGCCCAGAGCTTCCATGCCCTCTCCAGGCACCGCACTCCCCACTCCACCCATTCACCAACTCCCACTGGAAGCTCTCCCAGTGGGTCCAGAAACTTGGGTTTTGGTAGAGGCTTCATCACACAGGCATGATTGAAGAGATGCACAGGGCCAGGGCCAGGAGCAGTTCACAGGTTCAAACTCCTGAACACGTTTTACTTTGGAGCTCGGCTCTCTAACCAAATGCCCTCTGTGGTTTTATGGAGTCAGTATGTATAAACTGATAATGATCTCAAGACATTTCATTCTCTCAGCATGAACAGCAGTGAGGCTGGAGAGGTTGCTGTGTTGTCCTGAGTGGTTCATCCACAGTAAGTTTCCTCCTGCCCATTGAAAATGGGTCTACTGGCATGCTTTCCCAGAGTCCCTATTTGGTAGCACAATCTCATCCCCTGAGGAAATTTGTCATAAATGACATGAATGGATTACAAATAACAAAATAAAACAAACAAATGCAAGACATAGAATGGGGTATAAAGAGCTCCCATTTGTGTTAAAAAAAAAAAGAGGAGACAACATATATGGAGGCTTGCTGAGCCCCTCTGGTAGAATCCGTAAGATACAAAGCACCAGAGAGGGTCTTTGGCAGAGTGACAGGGTTGGGGGACTTTAAACTGTATGTTCTTTATGTACCTCTTGGATTTTATAATACATAAATCAATTTTAAAGCTTCATCATTCTTTTAAATGCAGTTACTCTGGCTTTCTTTGAGCAACTACTCCAGCCAGTGAGTGACTTTTTTTTTAATAAAAAAAAATCAAGTTTTTTCCTTCTAAATAACAACTTATTTGATAGGTGCTAATGCTAAGGGATCAAAATTAAGTCAATTGAACACTAATGACCTGAATCTTTTTCTATTTGTTTGTTTGTAAATTTTAATTCTTTTATTCAAGTTTCATTGTGTGACCTCTGTTCCTTCATCTGGTACAGTTCCTGTATCAGTTTCATAAATTATATTTTTGCACATCTTCAAGTTTTAAAAGGAGATAAAACATCCCTAGCCTAAGGTCGCCATATTCCTTTACTCCGATGAGAGGGTCTTGCTCACAGGCCAGGGGTCTGTTCCCACCACCTTCTCTAACCCATCCCTCCTGGCTCCCCTGACAGTGCTGAGCCTCCTAGGGCAGAGAGCAGGGCCGGGCCTCACTCAGTGCCTGCCCAGGCACTCCCCTTTCTTCTCCTGCCACGTGGGCATGCAAGCACGGTGTGCTTTCAGGGGAGCGGCACTCTTTGCATTCATCCCACACCATGTGCGGGGCCTGACACCCCCCAGGTGCTGGCTGTGAGGAGCGCCGTTCCATCCCCCAGCTGGCAGATCAGAAGGACCCACCATGAGGCCGGTGGCTAACAAGATGCTCCTCACCTCCCTGGGCTGTGCATGGCCCCAGGGCATGGGAAACCCATGTTTCCAAGGCACTTGGGAGAACATGGCCTAGGTGGGGGCCCAGTATGGTGCCTAAGAGCCCAAACCCCCCCTGTTAGTAGAAGTCCTATGCCTCAGTTTCCCAATTTGTAAAATAGGGATAATAACAGAACTCACCTCATAGGTTGTTGTGATAGAGAAGAGAGTCATCACATAGAGGTCTCTAGAACAGCATCAGGGCAGGAGCATCCTTGGTAGCCCTACTATTATTATTGGCAGGGAACACCAGAAGCTCTGCCCCATAATTCTTAGATAGCATTAGTTCAAGGACATTCTACATAACACCTGGGGGTGAAGGGGGACTTCCCCTCCCACATAACTGAGTTAGATTTTCTAGTCGTTTCTGCAATGGGAGTGGACTTAGTTATGTGATTTTAAATATAAAGGTAGCATTTATTGCAGCCAGGTGTGCTGGAGCAACTGTATATACTTCATGTATCTACGTACACAGACACACAGCAAGTCCTCCCACACCCGCACATACATTAATGACTTCAAGCGAAAGTAAACACTGCAAAGAATCAGTGCTTCCGTCACTGATGTCCTTGTGAGGGCCCACAAGTTCCCTTCAGGATTGTAGAAGGAAGACATGAATTGTTGGGCCCTCTGCTTCCTCATTCTCTGTTAACTCGACCCACTGTTCTTCAAACACATGAATTCTTGGGGGAGAAATGAAGATTATCCTGGTTTTTGGTCTTCTCCATGACAAGGACTCTTATTGCCTGGACTCACCTCCTGGAGGGTTAAGTAGATGTCTGTGGGCAACCTGGGCCCTGATTGCTATTCCCAACATTATTTCCCTGGTAAAATGTACTTAGAAGACCAGATGTCCAGCTTTGAAAAGTCTGTAGATTAGAGATCTGCTTTGTTGCACTGGATTTTTTTAAATGTTTGTTTGCATTTCCTGTGGTATGCTGATGATTTAAAAGCCTAACCCTTGAACTCAGCTAGCAATTATAGTGCAGGGAAAAGCTCAGGGGAGTCAAACCCCAAAGTTCATAGGTGCTGTGTTAGTTCAGTGAGTTCTCATTAATGTAATGTACTGAACACTGAAATGAATTTCCCCTC